ATCGAGAATTAAAAAAAAAAGAAAACAAATAAAAATCGACATTGCGAGACCAGGATTCGAACCCGGATTATTTGCGCAACGTGCACAAACTCTACCAACACCGCCACTTCATAACTAAAAAAAAAAAATAAAACAATAAAAAACATTTCATCTCCTCTGGTCTCGAACCCGGACCAAGCTGCATACGAGCGGCGCCTATACCAACGCAGCCACTGCCCTTCTTTCGCGAGTTGTTGCAAATTTGAACATAAGTAGCAGCTAATAATTCAGCACAATTCAATCGCAATTTCAATTCTTGGAATAGAAAAGAATGCACGCATTTGAATGTATGTGTGCACACGCATAGGAAAAATGCGTGCGCGTGGCGCTGCTGACATGTGCTTTTGCAAATTGGCCAAACGTTTTGTTTAATAACTTCTGTTTTACTTAATGGATTTTAATGAAACTTTCAGCATATGATCTACATATCCTATTGGCTTGGTTGAGATGCAAACGCCTTCACATAATGGCCCTAGCTCCAACTAAACTTAAATTCTAAGAATTTGGGGGAATTTGGAGCCGGTATCCAAAATCCAACAAAAATCAAAATTGCATAAAATATACATAAGACTAAATACAAAATTTGGAGGCTCTAGCTCTTAAGACTTTCGAGATATAATTTATTTACTGCATTTCAATAATGTTTTTATTCGATAACAATTAAATGCGAATAGTTATCGAATATTTGAAACAAACTTGACCTGCGCGTGCTATACACGGACCTACAAAAAAAATTTCAAGTCTCTAGCTCTTATAGATGCTGAGATCCACGCGTTCACACATACGGACAGACGGACAGACGGACAGACGGACAGACGGACGGACAGACAGACGGACAGGGCTCAATCGACTCGGCTTGTCGTCCTGATCAAGAATATATATACTTTATGGGGTCTGCCACGCCTCCTTCTGCCTGTTACATACATTTGCACAAAACCATTATACCCTGATTTCCCATTTTTAATGGGATCAGGGTATAATGAGTGCGCGTGGCGCTGCTGACATGTGCTTTTGCAAATTGGCCAAACGTTTTGTTTAATAACTTCTGTTTTACTTAATGAATTTTAATGAAATTTTCTGCATATGATCTACATATCATACTGGCTTGGTTGCGATGTAAACGATTTCACATAATGGCCCTAGTGCCAACTAAACTTAAATTTTAAGAATTTGGGGAAATTTGGAGCCAGTATCTAAAATCCAACAAAAATCAAAATTGTATAAAATATACATAAAACTAATTACAAAGGCTCTAGCTCTTAAGACGTAATTTATTAACTGCATTTCAATCATATTTTTATTCGATAACAATAAATGCGAATAGTTATCGAATATTTGAAACAAACTCTCTAGCTCTTATAGATGCTGAGATCCACGCGTTCACATATACGGACAGACGGACAGGCGGACAGACAGACAGACGGACAGGGCTCAATCGACTCGGCTTGTCGTCCTGATCAAGAATATATATACTTTATGGGGTCTGCCACGCCTATTTCTGCCTGTTACATACATTTGCACAAAACCATTATACCCTGATTTCCCATTTTCAATGGGATCAGGGTATAAAAACGCTTTTTAAAATAAACCTTTAGACTTTAAATATGTTAACCTGATTCCTTGATGTCGATAATAATATTTATTTCGTTTGTCAAGCCTTAAAGACTGTGCAAAGAAAAAAATATTTTATTTCCTTGTAAAGTTCCTTCATTTTCATGCAAACTGATTAAGCCATATTTTAAATAGATGTTTGAGATACAACACTTCATGTTTAAGATGAGATGAATGAACTGATTGTTCAACATAGTAGATTCGCAGACTTTGTGTCATATATATTAATGGAAATCAGAATTTACCATCCTAAGTTTTTCTTTCAGTGTCTAATTGCACTAAGGCGCGAAGATACTCTAAGAACCACAAGTACAACATTTAAGATTCATGAAGTGCTTCAGCGTCTTTACAGACCATATCTTCACATATTAATTTATACTCTAAAGTAGCTGGCTCTCATAAAGCATCATTAAGTAGCGCACTTTCTGGTTGGGCTCCCATTGGCTCTTGTCTGTTTTTGTGGCCCAGTGGAAAGTGTGTTTTACAACAGCCCGTAAAAACGGCCACGACAAATATTTGAGTTGAGCGCAAAAACTAGGAAAAATTTACGAGCCACGGTAAGGTGAGAAGAAAATGTAAAGACTAACTCTGCTGTTCACGTTTATCTAGTCCCAAACACCGGTCGGGGGCAAAATTGACAACTCAATTGCGAAAACTATTTACACGCAATTAGGCGAAATGACAGGGCGCCACAGCTAACGGCAAAATTGTCAAGTGAAATGCGAGCAAAGGCACATAAAAAGAGGTATAACAAAGGGACCGACAGGCACAGGCGGAGACTGACTGCCTGCCACCTGGCAACTGCTCCGCTGCGTCTCGACTGTAAATATTGACCAGGCCTGAACAAACTGTGGCCCAGGCAGCGAGCAGCCACCGAGGAGCAGCTCAACCAAGGCGGCAGAGCTCATTCATAAATGCATTAGCTAGCTGTCAGGCAGTGCAATACTAATAAACGTAAATTATGCAGTCCATGAATTTAACATGGCTGAGCAAACCACTTGGACACCGACCACCAACCACATACGTACGTACGAATACTTGTCAAGGTGACTGTAAACGGATTCTGTGTTTATTACATGAGCCGCATTTCAATATGCCAAGGACATGTCAGGCTTTAAACTTGCATAGCGTGTGCGACACTAATAATATATAATGGTAAATATTAACCAGCTTTGCTTGGGCAATGTATTTTTTATTTTATTTTTTAACATGTGCAGTCCATTGAAACAATTTTGGGCTTAAATCAGAGTTCGCTTTCTCATGGATAATCTAAAAACATTCTGAAATATCCATTCAATTCTACTTAGATGATTATATAAATATGTATATAGAGCCTCGAAGAAAAGTCTCCAAGAAAATTAAAAATTAATTTTCATCCATATGAACAAAAAGCCATGTAATGTTTCCCTTAGCAAGCAAAATTAGCGAAGTCTTCTTCATTTAGCAAACTATCTACTTCCAATCATTTTCTTATGTATTTGTTTAATAATTTTAAAATGTACATGAAATGTATAAAAAATATTTCAAATAACTTTTCATAAGAGATATAAGGGCTTTTCAAAAATTGTTCTCTTAATATCCGGTTTCTTCCAAGTCACAATACAATGCACAATACAAATGCTATAACATTTGAGGTAGTATGTTGGTCCTCAATCAGTCAATCACAATATATATGTATATATATACATATATATCGTGGGTATTGCATCTAACACTCGAGTTATTTGCATTGCATGCCGCCTTCTGACCCAGTTACGTCTGGTTGTTTGGCCTTGAGCGACAACTTGAACAAACTTCTCCTAGTTCTGCAGTTGTCCTCGCATTGCAGTTGACATTTGTTCACACACAGACACCCGCAATGACCCGCCTGCGTGAGTGTGTGTGTTTCGGTCCTTTTGCATGATTTAAAACTATTTAACTTCTTTTGGTCTCTTCTCTTAGAGTCTCATGTATTCGTTTACTTTGTTTTGTTACGCTTTTTGACATTTTGCGCTGTGATTTCCCATTTTGCACCTGTTATTCTGAGTGGTTTTACGAGTAGGAAACCTCTCAGTTGCAACCCCAGGTACTTCTGTCTCTCTGTCCTTCTAGTTCAAAAATTTATGAGTTTTTTAACCTTGCTGCAAATGACAACAACAGCATGACAAAAAAAGACGAAAAATACAAAAATTTGCTGACAAGACCAAATACTCGACGGGTTGCCCCTGTACAAAAGTTGACGTGCATCTTTTGCTCTCTCCCTGTGTGTGTCTGTAAATTGTTAATTACAATTGTGATGCACAATGTATTTTTGTAGGCCAATTGCCTGCAACAGCAGTGGCAATGCGTAAAGATATGTTGCAAATGTGGCGTATACGTAATATTTTTTGTTGGATTACTTTGACATGCGGCGAAAATAGTGGGCTTAAAAGAATACGCAGATATATAACTAAATATATATACGTGTATGTGTGTATGAAATGCTTAAATGTAAAAGGAACATTCACAAATTTCCTTCATTTTCATTCATTTAATAAATTAATTTTATCAATTTAAAAGTTGTCTTAAATAGAAGGAGAGAGAATAAATGAAGGGAAGTTTGATTAGAATTATATGTATATATGTTATGAGAAAAAAATGGAGAGCAAGAGATAGACAAAAAGAGACAGTAAAAATTAAAATTGATTTAAATGGAAAACAAGAAAACGTTTAAATTTAATTAATGCTCATAAGTATATACATTGAGAGAGGGAGAGAAAGAAACCGACAAAGACAAATAAATACAGGGAGTCGATAAGAGGTATTGCAAAGGTGACGCGTAGCAGAAGCAAAGATAAAAATATATTATAATATATATTATAAAAGACAATTCGAATAAAATATGTTTACAAAAGATAAATTCGCATCTCAAGTTTCAAATTAATTGAAGCACTTGTTATAATTGTTTGGCAAAGTAAAGGTAAAGATAGAAAAACCACATGCTGAAAATTTGATTTATTTATTATTCATATTGCACTCAGCTAGATTTGAACAAATTATAAAGTCTATATGCGTGTTATAATTGTCTGTCTCGCAATGCAAACACAATGATGGATGAGTTCTCATTTATGCACCAATTCAGACACCAAGTTTGACACTCTGCTAACAGGGGCAACAATTTTGGTTGAAATTAAGTGGCTGCCAAAAACTGAATATGCTGAAAGATTTTTAATTACTTACTAATGAGCTGCCATAGCGCGTGCTGCTGTCAATGCGAGATCGTTCATTAGCTAAATTTTGTGAAATGTGCCATAAACATAAATCAGTGCTTCGAGTTTTTGAGGCCTTTGGCAGCTAATTGACTTCAAATGTTTTTGCCTTACGTATTGCAGAAAGCTGTCAGGGACCACACGAGAAGCGCTTACTCAATCACCTGCTCTCCACCTACAACACACTGGAGCGACCCGTTGCCAACGAATCGGAGCCCCTGGAGGTTAAATTTGGACTTACTCTACAGCAAATTATCGATGTGGTAAGTGTCAAAATTCTAAAGAGCTAGAGCAAACATGAAGACTACGTGTCGTAATTCTTATATAACCATAATCAACTTAAACAATTATAAAAAAAAGAAACACTACAATCGAAATGGGAAAAAAATTAAGTATTTTTTATCAAGTGTGGCCGTCGCGACGGTTATTGGTATAGAAAAGATAAACATATATATACAGGTCTTACGTAACGAACAAAAAATCAGTTGCTAACCACAGACATTTGTGGTCATTGTGGTAAGTGACATGTACCCGCCGCTCGGAGCTCTCGCAAATTTTTTATAGCATTTTATAACAGTAGGGCAGAAAAATGTCAATATATTAAATCAGAAACCGAACCATTCAGCGATTATGAAACAAAAAAAATAAAATTAGAAACGAACAATATATATATTATATATTATGTAATACAGATACTTTCAGTTTAATAATATAAACAATAAAATATATATACAACTTTTTTCTTTCAAAAACTTTGTTGAAAAATTTATTTTGTATTTTCATTTATCAAAGATCTATAGCAAACCATTACAAATAAAAAAATTTTTTTTCTTTCAATTTTTTCAATAATTTTATATTTTTAATAAAAGGGTCTCCTTTATAAAATACATGGTTTTCTATGATATTTGATGAAACCTTACCTTAGCATATAAATTATTTTCACACCTTCGAAAAATGCAATTTGTACCCGTCGCGGCGGTTTCTCAGTTCTCTCTACAAAAAAATAGTTACATCTCTTAATATCAGTTATATTGACGAGTTCTTGCGTTTCTTATAGGATGAAAAGAATCAGATTCTGACCACAAATGCGTGGTTAAATTTGGTAAGTGACATGTACCAGCCGTCAAATATGTCTAGCACCTGTTTGTCTGTCTAGGGTCTTACTTTCGTACACTGTTTACTGTTTGATTTGCTTTGATTTATAATTTACGATCAACAATGAGCGACTAACTTTTTAGCTAACAGTAAACACAAGCATATTTTATTTTAAATACATTTTCGTTCTATTTCGAAATCGTCTTTTATCAAATATGTGTTGTCTCGATATGTGTGTGGAAAAAACTATATACAAATATTATATTTAAAATCAACTGAACTTTATTTGCTGTAATACACCGTTCAATTATAAATATATATTGTTGTTAGTGCAAAAACTGCAGTCACTTTAATTAAAAGCAAATGATAAAATAAGCAAAGCTAAAAAAAAAACAAAAACTAAATACATAAATTTGTAACAAACAAGCACTTATCTTAAAGCTTAAACTCTGTTAGCCTTCACTTAGCTTCAGCCTGAACAATATTTGAGTCATACGTTTTTCCGGCAGGGTCTCACTGCCTATGCTTGTAGCACAGGCCTTGTTAAATTGGCATAAATTGCCAGAGAGCTCTAAACTCATAAGCACAAACAAATAAATCAAGTGAAAAGGTGTGCGAGAACGTTTATTCTACCAGCATATACCCTGTAGATAGCGACATGGCCATGTCAAACTGTAACTAAGCAGGAAATAACTTCAAAAATAGTCCCTAATAATTACTTACTTTCAGTTCGAGCTTTCACATTAGGGGAAATATTCGATTTTCCAAGCAGCTTCAACTCTAATCTTGCAATAGAAACTAACTCAATCAATCGACATACAAATATTTCGCAACAAGTATCCTACTGCTTCCTACTTGCAGGGTATTTCTTCGAACATAAAAAAAATTGATGCAGTAACAATTTTTACGCTCTGTTTGTGGCATCACCTGAAGCTGGGTGCGATTGATCAAATAAAAAATATATAACCCTTTTCAATAAAAATTAATAGCCCGTTTTTGCTGAGAGATTTATGACAGCAAGAAATAATTTTCAATTTTTGCTAAGCTGATATTTGAATATCTATATTTTTTGCCGTATTTAGAAACTGCAACCTAAATAATTGTTACAAAATATACGAAAAAACCTGACAAAGATCTAAAAAAGTGCTTTAAATGAAACCAGCAACATTGTTGCAAATGCACCAAGCAAACAAAAAAAATCTAAACTAAAAAATCAAACAACATTTATTAATATTAAACCAATTTAGCAGCGTGTCTAGGCCTTTTTTATTGACGTTGTCTTTGTGTGATTTACATATAAATATATATATGGTTTTTTATAAATGTATCTACCTATACATTATTTCTTTTTTCATTTAATAAATGTTTTATCCTACGCGATATTGTTTGCCATTTGGGTTTGTTTTTGGGTTGTTGTGCCACATGTTTTCTCACACAAATTAAATTAACACATGAAAAATTGAATTTAATTAAATGACAGTTTGAATTCAAAAATTATATCAATATATATATAAATATATATATATATATATATATATATATATATATATATATATATATATATATATATATATATATATTTATGTATATATTTATATGCAATGCAATGTGCTTAAAGTGTTGTTAGTCTATGGCAAAAGGGTTAAAAATATTTATGGATCCACAAAAAAATCAATTATAATATATATTTTGTAATATTTTTACATTAAGGCGTACTCGAATTTAAAGTGCATTTTTAATTATATATAGAGCAGGATGAATGTCTATAATGACGCATTTAATAATAATAATATTTATTAATATTAATTAATAACTTAGTATATTTCAATATGCATTAATCCGAAATAAATGTTTTGAACAGCTATTAAATTTTAATATTTTGATAACGAAAATTATTAATATATGAAAGATACAGGTCTGAACAGGCTTAAGATATTTTGAACTTAACAAAAAATTGGCCCATAAATTATCGTTCCTATTTTGGCACGTCTCTTTCAATGGCTGTAAAATTATGCAATTTAAAACGAAAAGGAAGATTCTGATTACGAAATAGTAATGCCCAGTTTCCAGCCATTAGGGCTCTCCAAAATAATTAATTGATATAATTTGTTACAGAATTGTTGATTTCTGAAATAATTAATTAATTAAACCAAGTAAATGTGATGTTTAGCATCTCAGTTAATGCCTCACTCTCGAGTTAATTGCACACAAATAATGTACAAACAGGATAATTGAAGGATTAGACATCTATACTAGCCGATTGCTTGGAAGTCAGACAAACAACTTGTGTTAAGCGCATTCGGGACAGACTAAAGCTTTACATTAAATACGCATTTAATTTCAAATTAATTACCATAAATACTATTGCAAAACCTCGTGTTAATTTAGAAAATCCCTTATTTTTGTGAATGTGTGTCTGCGTGCGTATGTGTGTGTATGTATGTATTTACTAATCAAATCAGATACTTCGAATGCATATGTGAAAGTATCAGTTACAGATTATGTTTGAACAATTTAAATTATTGCCGGGTACATGTCATAAAACGTTTCCAAACAACTGAATAAAATACAAAAAGAAAATGTTTAAAAGAATCAATATAAGAAGAAGTCATGCATGTTGCTTAAAAATAAAATCTAAACTAAACTAAACTAAGATTTAACTAAACAGCTAAACTAGGAGTACTCTCTTATATTCAAAAACATTATGTTTACACAAATCTTAATAAAACTTAAAAAACCTGTTTCTTTAACGATTTGGCTTTAATGTGCGCAGCGAGAAAATCTAATTATTGCAGTTAAAGTAATTTATTTATTTCACGCGTAAGCATTTGCAATTTAGATAACCGTACATTTGATTTATGCACTAAATTGCGATTGATGCATTGATAGAAAAACCGCAACGCGCGTTTTGTTCATTTCAAAACACCATTAATTATTTATCCCAACTGCAGCTTTATGAATTTTTAGCCCTGACATTTTCAGCTTTCACCCTGGCCGCGTTGTCAATTACGCTAATTAGCTTACAAATAATTAATAGCTTGCCCTCACCTAAACACACATGTGCTGCTGCTCGTATATAGGGCTCACCAAACTCATCTTTCCTACACTGAAAAAAAACGAGACGAGCAAATGCACAACAATTACTATAAAAACTTAAAGCTAAATGTGATTTTGACCTATTGAATTGTGAGCTTTTAGGCAATAGCTTTCTAATACATTAACATTTGACACAAATACATGAAAAAAAACTTTTTAGTAAAAAAATTAATATTAATATTAGTAATATTAGTAAAAATATTAATGAATAGTGTAAGAAGAAAATCACACTTTCCATTCATTATCCAGGCCGAAATCGATTTGAGCTCTAACCAATTCCATTACAAGTTGACCACGCGCTGCGTTCGCTGAACCCACATATGTTTAATTTTACATACCATTGAGAAAAAATCAAGAAGAAAGTAGAAAAAAGCATTACAAGTGTCCATGGTCACGCAACGTGCTCAGTGCATGCCAAGGTTTTTACTTGATCTCCTTTTTTTTCTATCTTGTTGGTTGATGTTGATGATGATGATGATGACGATGATGACGATGATGATGATGATGCTGATGCTGATGGCCCAGCATCAATGGCCCAGGCATGTCAGTTGGTCCGTCTATCCGTCCATCAGATGCAACCAGAGACCAGGAGCATATGGCAAAGTGTCGTTGGCAAAATTACACCCGTACGTTCCGAGGCGTACGTGAGGCGGTCTTGAACTCTCAAGTGTCAGGGGCCACCTCTTTGGCACGCCATTAAAATGCACATTGTGTGTGGCCGACAAGCCAACAGGCACATCGCAAGCACCATCAAAATTTAAGAAATAAAGTCATTAGCATTTTTCGGCTAAAACCAGGAGCACTAACAAGATTCTCTGTCTCTCTCTCGCTCTTGCTCTCTCTCGTTCACTCCTATCGTTTACTCGCTCACTCGTGCTCAATAAGTTGCCACACAAAAGCCCACCAAATGACTGGCCATAGAAATGTGTCAAAAGGAAATGTCTAAAGAGTATTCGAGGCATGAGCAACCCTCAAGTGCACCATGCACTCGAAAGGTGCTTAAGCTGCTAATAGCAGCTAGTTAGCTTTGCAACCAATGTCAAAAGCTCAAGGCGGAAATCTGCAAAAACAAAGAGCAGAGGAAACTATGTATTCGATAAGCCAGGGAAATGTTTTACTTTCCTTTCTATTTTCTACTTTTCTGATTTCAAAATTGTATTATAAGCCTTTATTAATATATGTTTCTAGTTCTCAAAAATTGTTGCTATTTTAAAACTTTTCTGTTGCTTTGTTTGAATACTTTCAATATCATGTATTAGTTTAAAAATTTTAAAAATATATTGTTGGTATATTAAAATTCATAAATATATTTATTAATTTATCCAGCTTATAATTTTTAAAATATTATTTTTTGTTTCCTCCATTCTAAGCTCTTTTTAAAATGGTATATTTTGTTTATTTTTTCTTGAAAAGTTGGAATTTATTCATTTTCTACTTTGAAGAGTTTTTATTTCTTAAATCCTTTTTATTATAAATATTTCGCAGATAGCAAGTTTTTGTTATATATTATTTTTAATCTTGGTTCTAAGACAATTATATATCTCTCCAATTTTTAAATTTCATTTTTAAATGTTATTGTATTTTTTATATTTATTTTAAGTTCTACCTTTCCCACATATGTTTCGGACATACATTATATATAATGGGTATTACTTTTTCATTCATTTAGCTCATTACAGCAAGCCGTCGGCCTAATTCCAATTTTATGAACGTTTGCCACACAACCTGCAACAATTTGGCGCACAGCAAAACTGTGCGTACTTATCACACACTTATTTGTTGTGACATTAACAACAGCAGTGGGTGGCTATAGGTGACAATAGGGTACAACGGGATAGCAGCTGCCAAGGCTAACAAACTTTGCCCTTGAACATTTTCAGTTCGTACACAAACCAGACATATGTAGGTAGA